ACGTGAACAGGCGAGCTGCGGCATGGGGAGTACAAAAGAATGCCAGATGGGGGACAAGAAGGGAAATATACGTGAAGCAAAGAGCTGGGAACCTTCCAATGCTTAGTATGGTTGGCAGCACTGGCATCACAATAGTCATCAATAATAGGATGAGAAAATGAGGTGATATTTACTGAGTGGAAGGACATTTGATGCGCCTCAGAGAGTCGATTATTGGATGGGAAAGTGAGGTGATTGATAGTGAGTGGAAGCAGAGTGGTGCTCACCGATGCAGCCAGCAAAGGTGAGGAATGTGGTGAACACACTCAGCTGCCCCGTGCTCTTGCCCTGCTCATGGAACACCGTGATGGAACCATTAACAACCGCACATGTCATGAGATAAAACATGGCATGACAAGGTGATATGACATGACATGATACGAGACAGCCATATGACTTGACATGGTAGCGGAGTATGAGATGTAGCACGCAGCCGAGGGATGATGATGCCAACTTGCGGCACACAGAATGACCAGGAAACAACAAACGGCGCAACAGTTTTGCCATCGTTGCCATCACCACCCAATGTTGCCATCTTCCCGGTCGTTGGTATGGTTGACACTACAGGTATTTGGACGCCGAAATACTCTGCAGATGCTGGGCTTGGATGCATTAGTGGCTGCTGCTGTTGGGAATAGAGCCAGCATAGGACAGTTTCTGTCATCGGGAGCGGAGCCGGGGATTCATGTATCAGACCAAATGCCCTGCTTGACTTCTCGTCAGCATGCACCCGAGAAAACTTACCGTCCCCCTGTGGACTGTCATGCAGTGGTTCTGCGTAGCTCGATGGACATTGGGGTGTGGATTGAGCATTGTTAATACCCGCACAAGCAAACTTCCTGCTCCACTCCTGATCTTGCTGGAGGACATGCGCAGCTGCTGCTAGCACCTGGTCCTGACTGTACCCGAGTACCTGCCCAATGGCGATGACACTGGCGTTGAGGATTGTTACCTCACGTTTCATCACCTGAATTTCAGTATGCACTTTTCCGACTCGCGCGCAGCCATCACAGTCATCGGGATGCACAACAGCTGTTTCGGCTGTCACTCTCTTTGTCTTCTGCGGCGGGACGTTGAGTCCGAGCTGAGACAGCTTTGATAGCAGCTTCCCTTCGGCATGCTCGCAAATGTCCGCCCGGATTGAACGGCGGTACTGCAACGAACTCACACCGCGGAGGCTAATCCAATCGCGCACAGTCTCGAAGCTAGAGTCTACTAGCGCTTTGAGGTAGTGGCATACGTAGATCCCGCTGTCAAACGAGTTCGACTGCATTGGGATTTGATGTTCCTGCACACATGTCATCACAAGAACTGTAAACTTTTGTTCCCTCCAGGAAACTGAAATGTATACTAAGTATGCAGTTTAAACTTACCCCCATTACAATGCAGTCCGCCTCTTGCAGAATAGTATCGATGCGATTGATGTCTGCGTGAGGGTGGGCATGCCTCGCCATTGCTGCCAGTACCCTGAAATGAACATTCTGGGAGATAAGAAACTTTGGACGAAAATCAGTTGTATGCAAACTTGGTTTTGCACACTTACAACTTTGTTCCGTTGAAAACCTCGGGCGACTTGGAATGATTTGCTGCACTTTCGTATAGTATCATCTCAAGTTGTCCACCATTCTTGCTTGCATGAGAGTCCAGGAGCCGATAAAGAGAGGGCACGACTATTAGGGAGTAGTGATTCCTGCACACATACCATAAATGGATGTGTTAGAGGGTCTCAGCTACAAACATGTTATTGCAACCAATGTACGAACATGTGTGTGTAAAAAAGGTTAGCACCTTAAGAAAACGGGTACGACCATGTAGTCGTGCTCCAAGGGCGAAAGTCCATCTGCGGTTTCAATAGGTTTGCGGAAATCAGTACCGTAGGTGTACGCTTTGGTGTCAAGGACGGTCCACGTTTTGCCATTCGGCAGCTTTGGGGCTCGGATGCTCAATAACCTGAGGGTCACGTAAGATATACATGAACAAATGGCGATAGTTAATGACCAGCAACAGTCAAAACAACAAATACCATACAGTCAGAGAGTGTCCAAGAACGTACATGTTGTGGAAATCGATTATCGCATCCGAGACGTACTGCTCGTCAACGATTGTGACTGCGTCGTCCCGCGTTACGGTGCATTCAACGCCAGCCATATCATAGAGCGACATGGTTGTGAAAGCTGATGCGCCTTTCTTCTTTGAGATTGCAGCCACCAAGTCGTCCGGCTCCGGCCCCTCAGTTTTCATGCGCATGGTGGATGTGTACGTTGCAATAGGAGCGTTTGTCAAAGGGCGGAGGTCTGATCGCGCTCCCTTCTTTCTTCCGTCCTGCGCCTTCGTCATCACTTCTTGTTGCCCGCGAGAATCGTGAACACTGATGTCGCCACAGTCTTTAGCTTCCGCATCCTTAGCTTCATTGTCCTGGCCATGACGCGTCTTCACGGCCATCTGTTTAGTACGAGCCATGCGATGCATACAAATTTTGATGGATTTACTGAAGCGTAGTGCCTAACGCTCTACTATGGTATGTCTCGTTTCTTAAAAATACACCAGGTACGTGTGCGAACGTGACTAACGGAGAGCTTTGGCACAGAGTTGCACGATTGAAGAGAAGCACACGTTTTGAGTATGCGGACTTGTTGGAAAATGCTTGTGGCATTCGCAATCTGTATACTTGGTGTCCAACGAAAGAAGAAACGAAATTGACTCATTGATAGATTACGGGGAAAGAACCACATCTAAAACAGAGTGACGAGTGCAAGAACGTCTCGAAAAGAACGTTGTTCAAAGAGAACGTGCAACTACTCTAGCATGTGATTTTCCCAGCTAGCAACGTCATGTGAAAAGTACACTGAGGTGAGTAGTTGTTCAGGTGCTTGCAACAGAAGTAGTTGAGCATACTCGTTTGTGCAATGTTGTCACTTCCCTCCGAATCTGGTCTAATGACAAAGTGAACACTTTGTATTGTACTTGGCGAATTACGTAATTTCGCCCTGCTTGGGAATGCGAAATCCCCCCACTTCGCGCGGGGCCGATACCTAGCATGTGCAGGGCTCGCCTCAAGGTGGCGGTTTTCGTGTTCGATACCCTGAGGTTCAAAGGATGACCGCGCATGGGCGGTGCTGGCAAGGAATAGAGATTGAAAATTCTGAACGTGGAAGTTTGAACAATGCTGATTTTGATTTTTGCACCCAATGAAAAACTGTCACGTCAGGTATGCGCTATGTAACCCAGGTTTTCGAACCCGCATTCTCGAAAATGATTTCCTCACCACATTGAGCTCAGATTCGACTCTTCGTTGCTTAGTGTCCTTGCGCCAAATCGGTGACGAGTGTCACACGTAGATCGGCGGTTGTTCGCCACTTCGTTGAGTGATCAACCCTGTCACGAATAGAACCACATGCGACATCCTTCGTCATACAGTTCCGCAAGGAATGCACTAAAAACCGCAATCCGAATAGATTTGAGACGTAACGAGGTTGATTTCGTCACACCGTAATGTTCCTCTCTTTTTCCTGGTATTCGGGAATTTCTGCACCTGGATTTCTCAGATGCACTTCGAGAGTAGTCACAAAGATCGGTACAGCACCTAGACACATCTAGGCATCCCGCCATACATACATACGCCTCTGAACCACCTAGGTGACTCTACGCTACACTACAGTCAAGAAAGTGAAGCCTGAAAAATCTCGTCTCGCGCACGTGAAGCGGATGACTGTATCCGCTGGTTGGAAACGTCGTCTATCTCTTGCTTTTTACCTCTCCTGACATCGTAGCCGTCTCTTGGAAACTCTCGATGTCATAGCCGTTGGTTGGAAAAAATCGACAGCGTAACAATGGCAGCATTGTTGGGTCTGGACGGCCTGTTTCTCGGCTTCGACAGCTCCACGCAGTGAGTAGGAAATAAGGCCATTGTTGGGTCTTGGAATGCCTTTCGAGTCGACTCGAAAGCCGTTGTTGGGTCTGGACGAATGTTTCTCGGCTTCGATAGCTCCACGCAGTGAGTTGACGAATATTCGCTTTCGTCAGTGCCACAAATCAGGGCATGTTTCGGGCAGAAACTATCCCAGGCAGGCTTGGCGCGCGCACCGAACTGAACCGCGTTGCCTGATTGGCGGCGCAGGGACACGCGCTACTGATTGAGGTACTGCATTATGAAGCTGACATTGATTTCCCGCACCCTCTAACCTGAATTGCTTACCCTCTCCATTTTTTTTCCCCGCTACCCTCCCATCCACACCCTTCCCCGCCCCCTTTCCTCCTCCGTCAACGGCGTTTCAGGTCACTCAAAGTCACATCTATCTATTCCTCTCTTCGCAACGTCGCTACGGAATCACTCCAATATGACACTGTCCCCACATAAGCTCACCCTTAAAACCTCCAACCTCCCTTCCCCCCTCCCTCTCTCCCCACTCCCCCCTTCCCAACCCCTCCTTCCTCCCCCTACGCTCACCCCCTTCCCCCTTTATAATCACACCGTTTTCAGGTCACTCAAGGCCACAGCAATTGATTCCTCTCTTCGAATCGTCGCTACCGAGTCACTCCAGTACGATACAACCCTCCCCCACTACCGAACTTCTGGAGGCGTCCACCGTGCCTCCGCCGAACCTGATTCCCGAGCCTCCTCGTCAGGCTCGGCGCTTAGGGTCACGGCACCACCAGCCATGTGGGTGGAGGCTTTTGATGTGATTCTAGCGAGGTTGAAGGAAGCGGACTTTCCATTTGATAAAGTCCGGGCAGTTTCCGGCAGCGGGCAGCAGCACGGGAGCGTTTACTGGCGGAGAGGAGCCCGGGCACGCCTTAAAAGTCTCAAGTCTGACCAGACCCTTATCGCTCAGCTATGTGGGGATGAGAGAAACAGGAAAAGGGAGGGGCTCAGCTCGAATGATTCAGCACAGGGTGATTCGTTTCAAGACAATGCATCATTGCAGCAGAGTGTATTTTCGATTTTAGATTCCCCGATTTGGATGGACAGCAGCACAGCAGCCCAGTGCAGGGAAATCGAAGCAGCTCTTGGCGGACCTGCAGCTTTGGCTCGGCTGACGGGCTCCCGAGCCTACGAGCGGTTCACCGGACCTCAGGTTCGGCGAGTGTGGCAGCATCAGGCTCGGGAGTATGAGAGCACCGAAAGGATCTCTCTAGTGAGCTCGTTTGGCGCATCGCTATTGGTTGGAGATTACGCTCCCATCGATGCTGCTGACGGCGCTGGGATGAATCTGATGGATCTGCGGACGAGACAGTGGGCTGACGTGGCACTGGAGGTGAGCTGACGTGGCACAAGAGGTCAGTCAAAGTGCTGCAGTGATGTTCTTATGTTATCAAACCATACATTTGATCGTTCTGAGTAACGCTGCTAGTGGCACGCTGAAAATCCTCTAGATACCACTTTTGCAATAGCATTCTGTCAGTCAAGCATTCCTCATCACTAGGGTTGAGTACAGGGTCGGGCTGGGCCCGGTCCGGGTCGGGCCAGCCCGAAACTGCCCCGGGCCGAACCTCTAGGTTGGGCTGTCGGCTCGGGGCGGACCGGGCAATCCCGCCCCACCGGGCTGTCGTCTGCCTGCTTTTGGCCCGCCCGTTACAAGGCGGGCCGGGCCGGCCCGTTTGGGCCCTAGACTTGTTTGCTTCTCTAAAACTGGCCCAAAGAACAGTTTACCTATAACGAAAGTGCACCCGGGCAGGGCCAGGCCCGGCCCAGGTACGCCCTGGGCGAACTGGGTCAAGGTCTGGCTCATTTGGCCTGGGGCGAGCCCGGCTGGGTTTTGAGTCGACTCAAAACTCGACTCAGGTACCCCCTGGGCGAACTGGGTCAAGGTCTGGCTCATTTGGCCTGGGGCGAGCCCGGCTGGGTTTTGAGTCAACTCAAAACTCGACTCAGGTACCCCCTGGGCGAACTGGGTCAAGGTCTGGCTCATTTGGCCTGGGGCGAGCCCGGCTGGGTTTTGAGTCGACTCAAAACTCGACTCAGGTACCCCCTGGGCGAACTGGGTCAAGGTCTGGCTCATTTGGCCTGGGGCGAGCCCGGCTGGGTTTTGAGTCGACTCAAAACTCGACTCAGGTACCCCCTGGGGGAACTGGGTCAAGGTCTGGCTCATTTGGCCTGGGGCGAGCCCGGCTGGGTTTTGAGTCGACTCAAAACTCGACTCAGGTACCCCCTGGGCGAACTGGGTCAAGGTCTGGCTCATTTGGCCTGGGGCGAGCCCGGCTGGGTTTTGAGTCGACTCAAAACTCGACTCAGGTACCCCCTGGGCGAACTGGGTCAAGGTCTGGCTCATTTGGCCTGGGGCGAGCCCGGCTGGGTTTTGAGTCGACTCAAAACTCGACTCAGGTACCCTCTGGGCGAACTGGGTCAAGGTCTGGCTCATTTGGCCTGGGGCGAGCCCGGCTGGGTTTTGAGTCGACTCAAAACTCGACTCAGGTACCCCCTGGGCGAACTGGGTCAAGGTCTGGCTCATTTGGCCTGGGGCGAGCCCGGCTGGGTTTTGAGTCGACTCAAAACTCGACTCAGGTACCCCCTGGGCGAACTGGGTCAAGGTCTGGCTCATTTGGCCTGGGGCGAGCCCGGCTGGGTTTTGAGTCGACTCAAAACTCGACTCAGGTACCCCCTGGGCGAACTGGGTCAAGGTCTGGCTCATTTGGCCTGGGGCGAGCCCGGCTGGGTTTTGAGTCGACTCAAAACTCGACTCAGGTACCCCCTGGGGGAACTGGGTCAAGGTCTGGCTCATTTGGCCTGGGGCGAGCCCGGCTGGGTTTTGAGTCGACTCAAAACTCGACTCAGGTATCCCCTGGGCGAACTGGGTCAAGGTCTGGCTCATTTGGCCTGGGGCGAGCCCGGCTGGGCCCGGCCCGCCTTTTGGGGCAGCCCGCGGGTTGGGCCGGGCCTGGCCCGTGCTCAACCCTACTCATCACACCTTGTTATCTACCGCATGCTTCCATCGTGTCTCGTGAGATCCCGTCAGCATTTTTTATCCATACCTTGATCGCTTGTCCATTTCTTCACCCTTCCCGCCCCCCCCCCCCCCACTCACCTTCCCCCCTCCCCCCTCCCGAGCCTGACAGGCCACGGCGCCGAACCTTCGAGAGAGGCTCGGCGAGGTGGTTCCGTCCCACCAAGTGATTGGCAGCGTGCATCAGTACTACGTGGACAGGTGTGTGCATGTGCTGTGCTGTGCTGTGTGTGCGTGTGTGCATGCATGCATGCATGCACGCGCTCTCTTTGAGGTTTCTCCCACCAAGTGGTTGGGAGTGTGCATCAGTAGTACTACGTGGACAGGTGCGTGCTGCATGTGTTGCGTTTGAGGCATCGGTTGTATTTTGAGAGGTGCATGCGTGCATGCATGTGCTGTGTCTGAGTCTCAAACTTTGAGCCGCCTTGCCTTCCACCTGAGGTGAATTTCCAAGCTGGCCAAGTTGAAGTGAATGCACGTAATGAATGGCCAAGTCGTGGCATGGACAGGCGACAACCATAGGGCTCAGTAGCCGGTAAACGCCTCCTGAGCCCCTTGTCCCCCCCCCCGCCCTTGCTTTCCTCCTTACTTTCCAGGTTTGGCTTCTTCCCAAGCTGCCAAGTCGTGGCGTGGTCAGGTCAGGGCATGAGCAGTGAGCTGCCTTCCCCCGCTCCCCATCCCCCATCTTTCTCTCTTCTCTGCAGGTTTGGCTTCTCCCCAAGCTGCCAAGTCGTGGCGTGGTCAGGAGACAACCCTTGGACCTCCGCTGCCCTGCATCCTCTTCATGTCGCTCCCCTCTTTCCACCCCTCGTTTCCCGCCTCCCCCCTCTTTCCTCCTTGTTTTCCAGGTTTGGCTTCTCCCCAAGCTGCCAAGTCGTGTCGTGGTCCGGGGATAACCCTTCAGGCTCAGTAGAAAGCCTCCTGTTCCCCCCCTCCCACTCCACGCCCTGCTTTCCTGCTCTCTGCAGGTTTGGCTTCTCCCCAAGCTGCCAAGTCGTGGCGTGGTCAGGGGATAACCCTTGCAGCCTTGCTGGTAAGATTCATGCCATGCACCCTGTTGACCATGTTGACCCTGTTGACCATGTTGACCCTGTTGACCCTGTTGACCATGTTGACCCTGTTGACCATGTTGACCCTGTTGACCCTGTTGACCATGTTGACCCTGTTGACCATGTTGACCCTGTTGACCATGTTGACCCTGTTGACCCTGTTGACCCTGTTGACCATGTTGACCCTGTTGACCCTGTTGACCATGTTGACCCTGTTGACCATGTTGACCCTGTTGACCCTGTTGACCATGTTGACAATGTTGACCCTGTTGACCCTGTTGACTATGTTGACCATGTTGACCATGTTGACGACCCTGTTGTTGACCCTGTTGACCATGTTGACCCTGTTGTTGGCCATGTTGACCCTGTTGACTATGTTGACCATGTCGACCCTGTTGACCCTGTTGTCCATGTTGACCCTGTTGACCCTGTTGACTATGTTGACCATGTTGACCCTGTTGACCCTGTTGACTATGTTGACCATGTTGACTATGTTGACCATGTTGGTTGGTCGCCAGCTTGCCAGTTTTTTTTCTGGTGTTCTTTGAAAGAAAAGGTACTTTTAAAACCTAAAGCTGGACCGGACCATCGCCTGCCACCTGCCATGCCTGCGTCGCAGGTTTGGCGCTGGGAGGTTCGGGCGATGTGGGCATCAGCCTGGGGACGAGCGACACTGTGAGTGACTTTGGATGGTTTTGCAGAAGGACATCCTCCCATCCATCCATCCATCTTTTTGTCGAGGCGCCTCAAAACGCCTCAAAACGCCTCAAACAAAAAGACTGCTTCGAAGCGTCTCAGTAGGTCAGTAGGTGTGATTGTGAGTCAGTGCGTTTGCATTTGTGTATCGATCGTTTTAGCTTCTAATTGAGCTTTTCTGTATCAAGAGGCTTGATACAGGTGAGATTCTTGATAGCCAAGTTTAGCTCGCACTTGTTGCAGGGTATGTATCGTATGGTATGGTCTCGTATGGTATCGTATTGTTTCGTATGGTATGGTCTCGTATGGTACGATTGACGATTTGTTTAAACTGGCTCTCTAAGATAACGCTCTAAGCTCACAGTTAACCAGGTTTTTCCTTTCATTCCATGGGGTTTGTCTCGTCGATTCAATAACCACAAGAGTTGATGGCAGTAAGACCTCCCGCAGCCCACCTGTCTGCTACTGACACCACCGTACTGGGTTTTTTTGGACTAGTGCATGCAAACATCTCCATCATCTCCACCTTGTCCCAGTCAGGTGTTTTCTCAGTCAGGTGTTTTCTCAGTCGGGTGTTTTCTCGGTCGGGTGTTTCTCAGTCGGGTGTTTTCTCAGTCGGGTGTTTTCTCAGTCGGGTGTTTTCTCAGTCAGGTGTTTTCTCAGTCAGGTGTTTTCTCAGTCAGGTGTGTTCTTTGGTGGTGATGGACCCTCAGCCTGGGCTGGAGGGTCATGTCTTTGCCATACCATCCCACCCCACCCCTTCCCACCCCTTCCCACCCCTTCCCACCCCTTCCCACCTCTTCCCATCCCATCCCAACCAGGTGTTTGCAGTCGTGATGGATCCTCAACCAGGTCTGGAGGGCCACGTGTTTCCCAACCCAGTGGATCCATCCTCGTTTATGGCCATGATCTGTTATAAGAACGGGTCGCTCACTCGGCAAGGTACCGGCGTTCTCACAGTGTAGCACTAAAAGCTTGCATATGCAGCTGATCATCTGTTCTGGGCGGTCGAGGCTCCTGCTGGTGCGACTTTATACGTTCATATGCGGCTGATTATCCGCGTGACCTTGTGTGTGACTTGATCGAAGTATGTGTTAATCCCATCATTCCATCCTCTCACGCTCCCATCATCCGTTCCTCCCACCATCCCACCACCACCAGCCATCAGGGACCACTGTGCAGGAGGGTCGTGGGAGACATTCTGCCACCTGCTGAATGAAGCCCCGCCGTTGACTGGTGTGTGCCGGTGCTGCATACATGGTCTAGCTGGTGTGGCTACCTGGGAGAGCATGGTGTGAGAATGGAGGATTGGCTGTGCAGGAGGATCGTGGGAGACATTCTGCCACCTGCTGAATGACGCCCCGCCGTTGAATGGTGTGTGCCGGTGCTGCATACATGGTCTAGCTGGTGTGTGCTGTGAACTGTGTGCATGCATGCCTCCATGCCGGCCCGAGGTGACTGTTCAGTCGACTCGAAAGTCAACTGTGTGCATGCAGGCCTCCATGCTGGCCCACTGTCTTCCCTACCTCCCGACTTTCTCACCTCCCCACCTCCCCACCTCACCTCCTCACTTGCCTTCTGACCTGACCTCCTGACCCCCTTTTGCGGCTCTTACAACGTCTGGGAAGGTGTCTCCTGGGGTTCTACTATCTGGGGTTCTACTATCTGGGGTTCTACTATCTGGGGTTCTACTATCTGGGGTTCTACTATCTGGGGTTCTACTATCTGGGGTTCTACTATCTGGGGTTCTACTATCTGGGGCATTAGCTTCACCCAAATATCGTTCTATTTCCTCATCTCCTCATCTCCTCATCTCCTCATCTCCTCATCTCCTCATCTCCTCATCTCCTCATCTCCTCACCTCCTCACCTCCTCACCTCCTCACCTCCCCACCTCCTCATCTCCTCTTCTCCTCATCTCCCCACCTCCTCATCACCTCATCTCCTCACCTCCTCACTGCCCCATCTCATCACTTCTTACCCTCGTTCTTAACGCCTGGGCAGGTGGGCGAATGGGATTCTACTATCTTGACCCGGAGATCATCCCTCCACTGCCTGGTAAGTTGGTAACCAGGTTATCAATTTCTTAGGTACTCACACGAACCAGGTACGTCTTGGCAGGTGGGCATATGTGCAGGTGGGCATATGTGCAGGTGGGCATATGTGCAGGTGGGCATATGTGCAGGTGGGCATATGTGCAGGTGGGCATATGTGCAGGTGGGCATATGTGCAGGTGGGCATATGGGCAGGTGGGCATATGTGCAGGAGGGCATTTGTGCAGGTGGGCAAATGGGATTCTACTATCTTGACCCGGAGATCATCCTCCCCTGCCTGGTAAGTTACGACCTTGTTAGGTACTCAATCTTCCTCTGGGCAGCTGGGTGCATGGGCTGGGAAGCTGGAGTCGTTTTTGAGGCGCCTCAAAAACGACCCCGGTGAATGGGCTGCGCAGCTGGGTGCATGGGCTGGGCAGGTGGCCGACTGAGATTCCACTATCTCGACCCAGAGATCATCCCTCCACTAGCAATCATAAGGTGGAGCTGCTTACACTCTTACATACTTACCCAAAGTAGCATTTGAATCAGATGCCATCATGCCCTATTTTGAGTCGACTCAAAAGTCACCTAAGTAGCATTTGAATCAGATGCCATCATGCCATATTTTGAGTCGACTCAAAAGTCACCTAAGTAGCATTTGAATCAGATGCCATCATGCCATATTTTGAGTCGACTCAAAAGTCACCTAAGTAGCATTTGACTCAGATGCCATCCCATACGGATGGATCACCTGTCCCATCCCATACGGATGGATCACCTGTCCCATCCCATACGGATGGATCACCTGTCCCATCCCATACGGATGGATCACCTGTCCCATCCCATACGGATGGATCACCTGTCCCATCCCATACGGATGGATCACCTGTCCCATACCTCTCCCCTGTGCTGTGCTGTCCCCCTTTCTTACAGTCCCCCTTTCTTACAGTGGGGACCCATCGCTTTTCACCAACAGAGGGCGTGAGTAACTTATTCAAGGCTGAACGGGCTTTCAAGAGTAATCCTCTCTCTCTACTCATCAACATTCTGCCTATCTCATCGCCCCTTTGCCGCATCCTTACAGTGGGGACCCATCGCTTTTCACCAAGGCAGGGTGGGGACGACTCTCTCACTCGCCTCTCCTCTGATCAAACCTTCGAACCACCACAAGAGGTAACCTTGCTTGCACAGGGGTGATAGAGGGCGGATAGTGAAGGGGCAGATAGTGAAGGGGCGGATAGTGAAGGGGCGGATAATGAAGGGGCGGATAATGAAGGGGCGGATAATGAAGGGGCGGATAATGAAGGGGCGGATAATGGAGGGGCGGATAATGGAGGGGCGGATAATGAAGGGGCAGATAGCGATAGAATCACTGTATGTTTGTTCCGTTGCTCTTGGTTCTCCGTTTTCTTGATTCCTGTTCCTTCGAGGGTTTTTTGAGAATTCTCAAAAAACACTCGCTGCAGTATGTTTGTTCCGTTGCTCTTGATTCCTGTTCCGCTGAAGGTTCTCCGTTTTCTTGATTCCTGTTCCGCTGAAGGTTCTCCGTTTTCTTGATTCCTGTTCCGCTGAAGGTTCTCCGTTTTCTTGATTCCTGTTCCGCTGAAGGTTCTCCGTTTTCTTGATTCCTGTTCCGCTGAAGGTTCTCCGTTTTCTTGATTCCTGTTCCGCTGAAGGTTCTCCGTTTTCTTGATTCCTGTTCCGCTGAAGGTTCTCCGTTTTCTTGATTCCTGTTCCGCTGAAGGTTCTCCGTTTTCTTGATTCCTGTTCCGCTGAAGGTTCTCCGTTTTCTTGATTCCTGTTCCGCTGAAGGTTCTCCGTTTTCTTGATTCCTGTTCCGCTGAAGGTTCTCCGTTTTCTTGATTCCTGTTCCGCTGAAGGTTCTCCGTTTTCTTGATTCCTGTTCCGCTGAAGGTTCTCCGTTTTCTTGATTCCTGTTCCGCTGAAGGTTCTCCGTTTTCTTGATTCCTGTTCCGCTGAAGGTTCTCCGTTTTCTTGATTCCTGTTCCTTCGGCGGCCCCCCATCAATTGTCGTTCATTTGTTATTCTTCACTCTTTGTTTCAGAGATCAGGGCATTGGTGGAAAGGCATCTGGTGTCAATGCGAGGGCATGCGGAGTGAATCAGGCTGCAAAGCCTCTTACCTCCCTTCCTACCTCCCCTTCCCCCACCACTTCCATGATCCCCCCCCCCCCACAGATCAGGGCATTGGTGGAAATGCATCTGGTGTCAATGCGAGGGCATGCAGAGAGAATTGGACTCCAAAACCACTTGGTTCTCGTGCTCCTTTCATCCCTCTCCCCCCACTTCCATGATTCTCACTATGCCTTACAGATCAGGGCATTGGTGGAAGGGCAGTTGGTGTCAATGAGAGGGCATGCAGAGAGAATCGGGTTGCAAAGTCCACCTGCCCGGATCATTGCCACGGGTGGCGGCTCAGCCAATGAGGCAATTTTGCGCACCATGGCAAATGTTTTTGGCTGCCCAGTGTATACCTCCGCAACCACAGGTGATTCAAACAAGCTGCGAATGTTGCCCCCAGACACCTGTTCGCATCATCTGTCCCTTTTTCTGTAATCATAGCATCTCAAAAACCTCCTCGTTTTACATGTGTGTCATTTGGGTTAATGATTAACATCACCTCCTCTCTTACACCTTCCTCCCATTTCCTCCCATTTCCTCCTATCACCATACTCTGCCTCGTTGGGAGAAGGCAACACACACGAATACTTCTGCCAAACCCGCGTCTCCTTTCTCTCTCTCGTCTCTCTTCGCTCACTTCTCTCCTCCTTCCTTCCCTCCCATCTCCCATCTCCCATCTCCCATCTCCCATCTCCCATCTCCCGTCTCCCCCTATCTTCTCCAAACTCCTCCAATCTCCTCCCCACTCCAGACTCTGCCTCGTTGGGAGCAGCACTGAGAGAAGCACACGGCACGGCTACCTCCGCCTTCCAATGCCATCCTCCTCTCACTCTTTTCCTCACATCTCCCCATCCCATCTCCTCCCATCTCCTCCCATTTCCTCCCATCTCCTCCCATCTCCTCCCATTCCCTCCCATCTCCAGACTCCGCTTCACTGGGAGCAGCGCTGAGAGCAGCACGCACACGGCTACCTCTGCCACACCCAAGGCTCCTTCCTCTCTCCCCCTCTCGTTTCTCATTCCTCTCCTTGCTTCCAACCATCCCATCCCACCCCATCTCCTCTCCCTCCTCTTCAGACTCAGCCTCGCTGGGAGCAGCGCTGAGAGCAGCACACGGCTACCTCTGCCTTCCCACGCCACCCTCTCATCGCTCTTTTCCCCCACATGCCCCTTAACCTGCCTCCCACCCTTTTTCCTCCCTCCCATCTCCAGACTCTGCCTCGTTGGGAGCAGCGCTGAGAGCAGCACACGGCTATCTCTGCCACACCCAAGGCTCCTTTCTCCCCTTCACCTCCCTCCTGGCTCAAGCCGGTGCCAGCTCAGCAAGTGCCACCTCAGCAAGCGCCACCTCTGCAGGTGCCAGCTCAGCAAGTGCCTCTGCAGAAGGTGCCACATCAGCAGCAGCCCCTAGCGCTGTGTCTCTTTCCGAAGCAATCCCTGCCGGATCCCCGGACCTGCACGCAAGGTACGGGGATATGGTGGCTCGGAGAATGGCTGTTGAGAAACAGCTACTGGAAGAAGCTACAGGGTAAGTACCCTAGGTACGCACCTTTTGGCGCATGCCAGAGGGAAGATTTCCCAGCATTTTTATAATCGAAACAGCTATTCAGAGTAGCTACAGGGTGAACTTGATTGGGCACCTTATGAATAGTAGCTGCTCTGTAAGAAGCTACAGGGTAGACCTCTATATACCCTTCAATCGTTAAAGCAGTTTTGGGGGAAGCACTCAACGGGTAGAGAGGTACAGTAGTCTCTCATTGAGTTCGTGTTTGAAGATTCAGACGCCGCTAACATGAAATGCCTGAGATGGTATGGCCGTGGGCATCTTTTGTACTGGTGATGGTTTTCTGTGAAGTGCACATATCACTCAAAATTTCAGACTGGCCTGTTGTGCAGCCTGCGTACAAAACAATGAACCAATCCCCAAAACGTCCTAACAAAATGAAAACAGACAGACCGTAATGGCCTATGCAACCGCAAACATTTCCTCTCTTGCAGCAACACGGCATTGCTCAATGTTCAGTCCCTGCTGGAGTGTGCTGAGCCTACCTCAGTCTTTGTCAGCTGACTTCCAGTGCCCTCTGCACTGCTGAAAGGGTGTGTTGCAGCAGCACAGCGATGGTCCTGGGTCCCACTCCCCCCGGCACGGGTGTGATCCACCCAGCCACCAACCTTGTCTGACTCAAGCCTCAATGCCTTCGATTCTAGCTAAATCCGACCTAAGAACTAGCCCCCAGTGCCCTCTCTGCGGCTGTAAGGGTGTGCTGCAACAGCACAGCGATGGTCATGGGTCCTACTCCCCCCGGCACGGGTGTGATCCACCCGGCCACCTCCCTGGCCCCCTCATAGTCCACATCTCCCACCAGCCGGTACCCCGCCTTCCATCCAAACAAGTTCCCTGTTTCAACTGACTTTCAAGTACAGCCCTATGAATTAGCCCCCAGTGCCCTCTGTGCGGCTGTAAGAGTGTGCTGCAGCAGCACAGCGATGGTCATGGGTCCCACTCCCCCCGGCACGGGTGTGATCCACCCGGCCACCTCCCTGGCCCCCTCATAGTCCACATCCCCCACCAGCCGGTACCCCGCCTTCTTGCTCGCGTCATCGACTGCATTGATCCCCACGTCGATCACTGCACACCCCGGTTTCAGCCAGTCGGCTTTCACCTGGTGGAGAATAGAGAGGGTAGGAGAGGCAATGGAGAAGGAACGAGCGGGAGGAGGTGAAGGAGAGTTGAAGGAGAGGGGACGGAGGGGAGCAGGGAGGAGGGCGGTTGAGTGGGAAGAAAGGGAACAAGGCAGATGAGCCTCCCTGGCTTGCTCATAGTCCACATTCCCCACCAGCCGGTACCCCGCCTTATTGCTTGCATCGTCCACTGCATTGATCCCCACGTCGATCACTGCACACCCCGGTTTCAGCCAGTCGGCTTTGACCTGTTTAGGGGGAGGAAATGGAAGGAGAGGGGGGGAAGGGAGGCCGGCGGTTGAGTGGGAACCTCCCTGGCCTCCTCATAGTCCACATCCCCCACCAGCCGGTACCCCGCCTACTGCCTACTGCCAATTCACTAGGCGGTTGAGTGTGGTTGAGTGCGGTTGATCGGCCACCTCCCTGGCCTCCTCATAGTCCACATCCCCCACCAGGCGGTACCCCGCCTTCTTGCTCACGTCGTCGACTGCATTGATCCCCTCGTCAATCACTGCACACCCCGCCTTCAACCAGTCTCCCTTCACCTGTTTATACGGGGAAGGCAGGGGAGGAAAATAGAGGGTGAGGGTGGAGCGTGTATCCTCACATCAATCACCGGACACCCCAGCTTCAATCAGTCAGTCTTCACCTGGAGGGAAGGAGAAGGAACGAATATTGAGAAATGAGGAGGGAGGAAAGGATGGGAAGTAATAACAGCAATAACAGCAATAACAATATCCGCCTGCTTCACAATCTCCTTGGGCTTTTTTGTCCTCGAGTGCACTATGGCAACTATTCTGCTCATTACGAGTTACCGCACTCCAACGCACTCCACTGCACCTCACCGCACTGCACTCACCATCTGGGCCCTCCCAATAGCAGCAATAACAATATCCGCCTGCTTCACGATCTCCTTGGGCTCCTTGGTCCGCGAGTGCACTATGGTAACCGTCGCGTCCCTCTCCACCAATAGCATCGCAGCAGGCATGCCCACGATGTTGCTGCGGCCAATCACCACCGCCCGCTGCCCGCTGATCTGCACGCCACTGCGCTCCAATAGAACCATGCAGCCCTGGGGAGGGAAGACGATAAAGAAAAGGGGAAGGAGAGGGAGGGAAGGAGGGTGGAGAAGGAGGGAGGGAAGGAGCAGGGAGAAGGAGAGGGCGGAGGGAGGGGGGGAAGGAGAGGGGAAACGGCAGGGTGGTGAAGCTGGCACGATGCAGCAAAGGTAGCATGATGGTGACCGTGGCAGCAGCATCGCCACGGGCATGCCCACGATGTTGCTGCGCCCAATTACCACCGCCCGCTGCCCACTGATCTGCACGCCACTGCACTCCAATAGAACCATGCAGCCCTGCAAAATAAAGGGGTTGGAGGTTTTAGGATGATGTCACAGGGAGAGGAGGGATAGAAGGTTCCAATCACCACCACCCGCTGCCCGCTGATCGGCACGCCACTGCGCTCCAGCAGCACGATGCAGCCCTGCAGAAGGGCGGGTGGCACCAGAGGACGTTGATGCATGGGAGTTGAATATGGAGAAGTGGGAGGGAGGGCGTTCTGAGGTGATGCACTTTTGAGGCGTCTCACAATCTGCCCACTGATCTGCACGCCGCTGTGCTCCAATAGAACCATGCAGCCCTGCAAAGAGAGGGGGGAAGGAGGAAAGGTGGGGGAGGAGGGAGGAGGCCGAGGGAGCAATAGTTGAGATCATGGCAGGGGAGAGGATGCAGGGAGGAAGAATCCAACCTCATAGAATCACGAAAACCAAGTGCGTGTTTCCATGTGTAATGAGGTTATTTTTGAGACGTCTAAAAAAAAACCACCTCGGAAGTGCACGGGGTGGACTGTGGGCGGCGTCCCTTCATTAATGCTCTTCCACTCACCCCCTCCCCTCGCCCTCTCTTCATTCCCTGCACCCCACATCCCATTGCCTCAAACCCCCGCCAATACCCAGACCCCTACCCACCTCGGGAGTGCATGGAGCGAACTGCGGGTGGCGCCCCTTCATCGCCAGCTGGCCGATGTTGATTGGATGGAAGCCGTCCACGTCCTTGGGCAGCGCCACCTCAGCAAGCACCGCCTCCTCGCTGATGTGTGCCGGCAGGGGGAGCTGAACCAGAATGCCTGGTGATGCATGTGAGGGGCGAGGCACGGGATGGGATGGGCGAGGCACGGCATGGGAGGGGGATAGGAAGAAGAGAAGACGAATGGATTAAAGGAGCGGATGCTTGGCTTGAACTGGGAAGAAGGTGGGGGTACTCGATCCATCCACGTTCGCATCTCAGCGTGCACACGTCAGCACTCATCATGCACACCTCAGCACTCAACATGCACACGCCAGTACCTCCTGTTGTACACGTCAGCACCTCATCATGCACACGTCAGCGCCTCACCACACACGTGTCAGCACCTCACCATGAACGTCAGGGTTGGCGTTGAACTCTCTGACAGCAGCAATGACGTCATCCTGGCTGGCATCGCCAGGAAGCTTCCCCTCGAACGACGCGATCCCCACCTCCTGGCACGCCTTCACCTTCATCCGCACGTACGTCTGCGAGTCCTTGCGCTCCCCCACTATAATCACAGCCAACCCTGGGACCTGTTTGGCGGGGATTGGGTAGGAACACGAACTTGTACTCAGTTATAGGACGATCCTCACCTCCCGGCACGCCTTCGCCTTCATGCGCACGTTTGCGCTCCCCACTATAATCACAGCTAGCGCCTTGGGACCTGCATTGGCGGCAGGAAACGTGCAGGAAGGCGAATTCGTGCTCAGTTAGACGGGGATATCCATGGCCAGGCACGGCTTCACCTTCGCGTACGTCTGCGAGTCCTTGCGCTCCCCCACTATAATCACAGCCAGCCCTGGGACCTGCGGCAGGGATGGGGTGACGGCAGGAAGTGATCTGGGTAAAAGGCGATTTCTATTTTCCTGGCGCGCCTTTCTTTTCACCTCAACTCGCGACTCAAGCTACAGTAGGTAAAGGTCACGACAGGTAGAATGGGGGGGATGTCGAACGGAGGGTAGGTAGAACATACCCGTGCAAACCTTTGCCCGCGAATGCGCCTCAGCACAGCCATGATGTGAGCTGTTTTGTAGCAGAATCGCACCCCTCAGAGTTTGCTGCAGATTCGCTAGAGTCGTGAAACTAAGTCCTCACCTTCCCAGTGGCTTCCTTTAGTTTGGCCACCCCCTCAGCCACCTCGCCATGGATCTGCTTCGCGATGGCCTTGCCGTCGATGATCTTCGCCACGGACTTGCCTTCGTCCGCCATTCTTGATATGTATAACGTACTGAGCTCCGCTAGTCAGAGGCAATAATCAAAGAGCTACGAAAATGACGACGAGAAAAAACCTCAGAAAGCCGCAACGAGAGATATGAAGAAGGCGAGCAATGTCTAAGATCAGGATTCAGAAATGTGAGGACCTGGCGTAGATCCCAAGAAAAGCATTGAGTGCTAGCAGGCACAAGCGGAAGCACACAAGAATGGTGTTGGCGTTTTCCCTTGGTGTTGGTTTTGTCTCTCTGCGTTGCTGTTCCTCTACATTGCTGTTTCCCTGTTTCCGGTTGGCTGGTACTCTTCGGCGATGTTCGGCTGCCACAGGGGATGGGGGGAGGGGATGGATGGAGCATCAGAACGCCGAGCCTCCTGGTTCGATCTGTTCGAACCAGGCAGAACACTTCGGTCAGACATGAAAATTGTGAAAAAAGTGTCGGACGTGAGCCTAAAACGCGACGCGAACCCCGCGCTAGGCTTGAACCCGCGCCGCGTCCTCCCCCCGATTCCTGTTGCAGTGAACTGTGGCTGCTGCTCGCGTGGCACCAGGGTGGCGGGAAATATTTCACGTGGCGAAATTTTTCGCCGCAATTTCCCCGTCAGCCAAAATCCGAATATGCAAAAGGCATCTTGCAAAAATGCCCACTCGCCACCACACCCTTCCTATCTCCAGACAGCAAAAACCTACCAATCAAAACCTATCAATCCTCCACCTCAACTCTCCTCCTATCCTCATCATCTTTCTCATCCCATTATCCACCAATCAAACAAAAGATTCCATACCAAGCCTTCCAATCCAAGCCACATTCATTCCACTCACCAAGCCTTAAAATCAAAGCCAAATACATCCCATTCACCAAGCCTTAACTTCAAGGCCACATTCATTCTCTTCACCAAGCCTTCACTTCAAGACCACATTCATCACCCCCATCTTATCCAACTCAACCAATCACAACCATTCATCCTTTCCTCATCCTTCATCCAACATCAAGCTCCACCAAATACAAAAGGGTCCTCTTCATTTCTTCAAAAAAATATTCTTCAATGCTACTTCATACCCAAACTCTCAACAAGTTCTTCAAACTCCCTCAAGGCCAACCTCAAGTCCTCCTCCTTATGCTCCAACTCCTAAGGCTTCATCATCACCACCAACCTCTCCCAACCCAAGCTCATAGCCATATGCTCCAATTCTAGAGAAGTTTGTGCCACATAGTTTTACTTCTAGATCATCAAGGATAGTTGATCTCAAGATCCTACCATGTACCTCCCTTTGATTAATGTACTTTAAAGCTTCAAGCAAGATTGGTGTATTCTTCTACCCAAGGTCCAAGCTCCAACCTCAACATCCAAGCTTGGAGGTTTCTCTTCATTCAACAAACATTATCTACAAGTCAACATTCAAGATCAACTTCTCAACATTCAAGCTTTGAGGTTCTTCATTAACAACTAAGACAACATTTAAGCTTGAAGTGAAGATCAACTTCTACAACATAATAGTAAGAATTCTTTTCAAGTAAGTGGTTATCCCTTCCTCTCATTTTTTCACCAAGTTTCTTTTACATCAAAGTTCATTTGCTATTATCAAGTTGTTTTATATTCAAGCTCTTTCCATAATAATCAAGTTCTTATTCTCAAGTTCGTTACAAGTTCCTTTCAAGTATCTTTCAAGCCCTTTACCTTTTCTTCAATACTTTCTTTTAAGCCAATCTTGTTTGGTCCCTTTTATCCCTATCAAGTCTATCTATCTTCTCCTTCAAAACTTTCTTCATTCTTAATTACTCCATACTTCAAGATTTCCTTTCAACTTGTTTTTGCTTTTCAACTTGGTTTTACTTTGATCTTACCTTTTCTTTCTAGGTGTTTTCTTTCTTTCTCCTTACCATTTACCCTCCCTCGTCTATAACTTCAATTTCAAGATGGTATCAGAGCCCGAGTTCATTCCTTTTTGCTGTTTCTTCCGTGCGCATCTTGTCTAGTTTGTTTTTTTAAGCCCGTTATTTGCCATTAGTGGCATCCTTGCACTTGGTCTTGCGCCCCCTTTTGGGTCCTCCTTTTTGTGTTTCCCCTTTTTTGTTTTTGTGTGTTTGTGTATGTGTGTGTCTGTGTGTGTGTGTTTGTCTATTTCCCCTTCCCCTTGTGTGAAATTGTTTGATTGTATCAGGAGTTTTAATTTACCAACATGGATGAAAAGGACTCAAGTGTTCCTATGGGATCAACTTCACTAGCTGTAACCACAAACTCTTCAAACGAATCAGCACCTCCTACAACCAACACATCATCTCCATCTACACCACCTACTACATCTACATTTACCTCCTTCTTAGTCCCCAAATTGGAGCTTCCACGCTTCAACGGCAAAGGTTTTTCATCATGGAGCATCCGCTTTCAACAAGCCGCCACTCTTCTTGATCTTTGGCCTATCTACATCGGCCAAAACACTCCCCCTTCAACTGCTGCACCTGATCAAGAACAGAGCAACTGGATCAAGAAAAATGCTGAAGCTTATCTCTATCTCCTCTCTTCCATTGAAGACCCTTACTCTCAACCCCTCCTCCTCGTATCAACTCAAAAGGACAGTGCCAGAGCTGCTTGGGAGCGGCTCAAACGTCTTCATCAACCTATTTCCCAAGGTTCTAAGGCAGAAGTGTGGAACAAGATTGTCTCTCTCCGCATGGGGGAGAGTGAGTCCATCCCCGACTACTTACAACGTGGTGAAATGGTCCTTTACGAAGCTACACTTCTCGACATTGAGGTCCCGGAATCTCTCTTCATCACCATTCTTCTAGCCGGACTTTCATCTGGATGGAGCACTATGAGAAGCACCATTCAAGCCTTTCCTGAGGAGACAAGGACCCGAGATTTCATCTTCAACACGCTCATCACCGAACATCAGACAAGAGAACTTGCAAAGCTTCAGAGAAATCCTGGACCAGCATGGAGTGGAATGACAAGTTCCAACTATCGCCCTCAACAAAGTGTTCAACAACAGAGCAAGTTTCAGCAAGGTAAGTCCTCTAAAACCCCAACACACTCTCTTCTTGGACAACCCACACCAAGTCATATTTCTCAGCTTGCATCATACTCTAATCATATTCCTTATAAGTCAAAGTCAAGGTATCAATTTGAGTGTCATTATTGTCATAAATGGGGACATCCTTGGTTCAAGTGCAACATACGTCCTGCGAACTGGACACCACCTTCATCTCTGCTTTCTGACAAAGGAAGGGCCGCCATTGCTATTACATCCCATACCCCTCCAGAAAATCAACCAGACAGTGCGCATCATGGGGCATTCTTTCAGAATGCTTCCCAAGTCTCATCTCAAAACCATGTCTCTGCTTCCTCTATGCCACAACCTCACACACCAGAGGCGCCTCTTCAAGCCACCATAGGAGTCGTTTCATATGAGAGAGACTCTACTCAATCGAATGCACCGAGTTTCGCATTTGCATCATCCTCTTGTCTCCATGCATTTACACAGGATCCCAAGATTTGGTTTTTGGACAGTGGATGTGATCAACATATGACCCCTCATGCCTCCCTCCTTCACAGCCTCAAGCCCTCCAATGTGAAAGAAGTGGTTGTTGCCAGCAACCATTCGGTGCCAGTTCAAGCAGAGGGAACAATGACATTTCTCAGTCCAGAGGGAATTCATATGTCATTCTCAGGCATTTTACTTGTCCCCTCACTAGGGGCGAACCTTCTCTCAATTGGTCAAATGGAAGAGAGAGGTATTTCCATCTCTTTCTCAGATGGTTCTGTGCAGGTTCGTGCTCCAACTGGACATCACATTGCAAGAGGTGTTCGTAATGGACGTCTCTATCGAGTGGAGATTGATGCACAGCCACCTGCCAAGCCCTACAGCAGTCCCTCAGTTGCTGCTACCACCACCTCAGTAAGACTTCATCCTGGTACATCTGCATCTCCTTACACCTGGCATTGTCGTTACGGTCACCCTGAAGAGTCTAGCATCACACGCATGCAAGCACATGCAAGTGTTGATGGTCTTATCATCTCCAAGCAGTTGTCATCATCTCAGTCATCGTGCCACACTTGTGTTGAGGCTAAGCTTCCTCGTCATCCTTTCTATTCTTCTGAGTCTGAAGTCTCTCAACCGCTTGAGCTCATTCATAGTGACCTGATGGGTCCTTCCCGTACACCAAGTCGTACTGGGAAAAGATATGTAATGTCACTCATTGACCATCATACAAAATTTGCTTGGATCTCTCTTCTTGGATCTAAAGATGAAGTTCCCGGTGTTATCCAGTCCTGGTTTCCTTATATTGAGCGTCAGTTGGGTCTCAAGGTCAAAATTTTTCGTTCTGATCGTGGAGGAGAGTACATGTCTAACTCTTTCCGCTCTTTTCTTGCCAACCTTGGAGTTGAACAGCAATTGTCATGCACAGCAACACCTCAACAAAATGGTACTGCTGAGAGGTACAACCGTACGATTCAAGAGATCTCAAGAGGTTTTCTTTCCCACATGAATCTGGATGACTCATGGTGGGGAGAAGCTGTTACACATGCTGCTTGGGTCAAGAATCGTCGACTGACAAGCTCCATTGCTGAGGGTATTACACCCTATGAGGCATTATATGGCATAAAGCCAAATGTGTCCATGCTGCGAGTATTTGGCTGCATGGGCCAGTACAAAGTGCTAGATGACAAACGCAGCAAGTTTGAAAGTAAGGCAGCATGGGGCATGCATCTGGGCATGGCCAAGGAAAGTAAGGGCTGGTTAATGTGGGATCCTCTCCTAAAAAGAGACATTGTGTCAAGGGACGTGATCTTCTATGAAGACATGTCCCCTTCTTCTTGGAAACTTTCTTTTCCTCTTGTTTCCTCTCAAGTTCCTCCCTTCTCTACCTTTGCAGATTTCGAACCTCCAACAATCATTCTAAGTGGAGTTTCTGCATCATCACTGCAGAAGCAACACGAAGACATGTCTCATGCTCAAGACCAACAACCACCGCCATCATCTTCTGCTCCCACCCCTC